CGCATGCGCATTTGCATAAATGTCTACACACATACGCACACACATACTACACACAATAAAAAACAAAAGAAATGTGACAGAGTGATTACAATAGTTCCTATTGCATTACATGCATAGGAACTAAAAAAAACATCTTTTCACCTTGTTTGTCCCATTGTCATTAAGCAGTGTAACCCAATTGTATTTTTCTTGACTGTATTCCACTTGGAAATCCAGTAAGTTTTTCGTGATGATACCAGAGATGGAACGCTGAATACTGACATCAAACTCAAACCAATCAACACCATCAACATCAAAGCAAGAGCCATTTGTATTGAGAACTCCGTTATTGGTTCTGTATTTTGAAACATCAGTGAGTGACGTGCGGCAGATCAATGGACCTATGGATAAGAAATATAATGGTTATAATATAACGACAGTGGTTAATACAATAATAACTACATTAACTATAATCAACCGTACTATCATAGAAAGAAAATGTCCTGATATTATCCAGTGGCACATTATATACATACACTTGTTAATGAGTATTTTACAATAATTCCAGATTTATATCTATTTTCTGGTTTCACATTTTTCTGTTTAAATTTATATTTTAATTTGTTAATGAAAGGTCTAATTAATTTTCATCATTTATTCTTTTGTCTTTAATTGTATGTACTGAGGGTCTCAATTGATCAGCTCTGACTGGATGGATCACCCTCACAAAACAATGTAGAAATGAATAAAATAAATAAATAAATAAATATGGAATATTAACATAACAAAAACATGTAATAATGATAATAAAAACATGTGGGTTAATGGGGACTAATTGGGAGAGGACATGTAAAGTTATGCTACCTACAGTGGAATAACATAATACTAAGTGATTTTTTTTTCACTCAGAAAATTTGTAGTACGGGAGATATTTCGGAAATGCAATTTTGCTCCCCAACGTTCCTTCTTAGATATACCACTGCTGCTTTACTGGTACTGGCACTGGTACAGGAATTTATAATGCACCTCTTCCTTGAGGTTATAAAGCGCAATTGTTTTCCCTAGTCATTGGGTCCACATGCTTTAAACGTTGCTGCTGGTAATCAGCGTAGGACCAGGCAACCCCACCAAGTACCCATTTGTACTCCTGGGTGGAGAGAAACAATGCAGATAAAGTGCCTTGCTCAAGGACACAAGTGAAATGCACAGCGAGGGATTGGAACCCTGACCTCGAGGTTGGGAAAAAAAACCGTTCCCGCTGTACTAAACCATTCACACTTTCTAGAATTAGACTAAATGCAGAGTATAGCGTATCCAGGAATTTGAAATAAAGGGGCCCTGGTGAAGGATTTCCACAGCTATGGAGGGTCCACCCACCTCAGCCCCACCATAGTTGGAGCTTGAGTAAAAAGTGTACTCCACCAAGGAAACTTTATGGTGCTGATTATAATCAGTCAGTGCTACAGTACTTACTAAATTTTATTAATAAATACTGTAAAACCATATGCTTCTTCTCAAGATTAAGCCCATTGAGCTTCTATTTGAGGTTTTAAGATATGGAAAACTTTGGGAAACTTTAACCAAGTTGCATGGAAGAAATTATTTAATTTTGGTGACAATCCAGATTCGGGTGTGAATTTGAGGCTCATTTAAAGCAGTGTTATGCAACCCTTCTGGACCAAGGCACTACTTCCTACACCACGAATAAATCTGCTGACCACTCCATATATACTAATATTCAAAGTCACTGATCAGACCTATACTGACATAGTAAAATCATCTTTCTTGATTTTGAAACAGGAAAAGCATCATTTATGCCAGTGGTTATATCACAACATATAAAATAAATTATGAAAAAAAAAAAAAAAAAAATTTCTGGTACCGTCTGCAGTGAGTATTTTGAGCAAAATATACTCGGTGAGTCTATTGAAGTAGGCCTAAACGCTGAAGGTTAAAGGCAAAAGATCAGATGTGTCATTGGGAAAAATCGGTAAAATAGAAGGCATAATTTTGAGAACTGAGCGCGATGACGATGTATGCACGCAACATTGGATCTCTCGTGCTGAGCTGTCAAGCACAAACAGATCCAGGCCTAGAATATTCTTTACTACTGTACAACTAGTGATGGCTTGAATCAAAAATCGTATTCATTACCTTATATTGGACAATAAGTAAAAACAGGTTTAGGTCTAACCATCGCTAACCGTCCGTACATACTGTAATTTAGACATTTTAGGCTCTGTTACGGGTTTAGGCTAACAATGAACAAACTATATTTCTAGTGATCATGTGGATTGGATGCAAATTATTTTAGTTTTCAAAGCCAAATAAATCTTTCCTTAAATTGATTTACTTTTGTTAAAATTACTTCAATATAAACTTTAGTATGTATTTTGTCATACTTCAAATATTTTTTGTTTGGCAAGCTTGCCATCATTCTATTGTGGTGCCTAAGAGGCCATATGCGTAGGGTCCTCATAATAGAGACTGCAGTTTCAGGCCTATCCTATTTTAGATACAGTATAAAAAAAAATAATCCAATCAACCGACCGATGATCTAGATTTTTCCCATTTAAGGGCAACACAACAGTCTTCTTTTTTCTGCATAATTTCTTTTTTGTTTTTTGTGTTTTTATGTTAGAATTTTTTAAATGGGTTTCAATTTTTTATTGTTATTTCAACGTCAATGTATATGAAGAAAAGCCCTATGTTCTATTTTACAAAGAGACATGTGCTCTTTACTATTACTATCTATTAATATTACTATTGCTATTGCTATTGCTATTACCATTACTATTAACTTGCGAAAAGGCCGAAGAAGGCGGCCTTTCGCGAAGCTGTCACGTATTAGTGCGGGTCCAGATTATTTGCAAATAAATGGAGTAAGTTTTAATAAAAGAAGACTGAATGAAATAAGTTTAGATGACTTTGGGAACCGTCATTTGTCTTGTCATCTTCACATCTTTAAGAGAGATTTAACAGCCAACAATAATTAGCCTGAATATTATTCTCATGAATAACCCTCCCTAATCCCTAAAGAAGAAAAAAGTTGCTGACTATTTACACTTTTTTGCCAGCTAAAAAGCACTGTACAGGGGCGGATCCAGAGATATCCAATAGATGGCTGAATGGTGTTCAAAAGTGGTTCCAATCAAGATAACGCCACCCTAGGGGGTCCGAGGGTATGCCGTCAGGAATTTTTTGTTTTCTTGATGCCCGAAAACAACTTCCGAGGCATTTCTCCTTTTTCTTCCCACCCCCCACCTCTTAATCCACAACTGCTCCGCCAGAAAATACTCCTTCTGTAAAGCTCAGTCGTCCAAATGCTGCAAGTATTGCCATAACGTTTGTATCAGCTGCACTCACTGAAGTGGTACATTCCACTTACTACGTACTGAATACTCCTTTCAATGTACTGTATGAATGTACCTTGAATAATGAATTCTCACATGTGTTGCTTTTGTAGCGTGAACATCCTTGTCCAATATTATCATTTAATATTAAATGCTGACAAATGATACAGACCTGTATCGCGAGGGTTAAGAGGGTTACGATGAACCGCCCAAAAACTGGAGAAGGTCCACATTTTAAGAACAAAAAATTGATATTTGTATATAAATTTACAATTTTCTCCACAAAAGTGGCCATTTTGGACCCGGGGACCCAAATTCCAAATGATACATGGCCAAAATGGATGACCAAAGGTGTCAGGAGCAATAAAAAACAGGTCTATATAAATCGCAGAGTATGTACACGTAAACCATATCTAGCTGCTGGACTACAACTTGAGCGAATCGTTCGCCCTCTCTAGGCCAGACCTAGCCAACTTGAGCAGATCAAAAATGATCTTGGGCCAGAGTAGAGGGTGTGTCAAATTCTGGCTGGAGGATGGGAAACAGTCCATCTGGTGTGCAAACTCACCAGATTGATGGGCTTGCCACACAAGGCCTATGATGCTAGGTTACATTTGGCTAGGCCGAGTTGAAAGCGGATCGACCACTGGCCATTATTTTTTCAGTACATTCTGCACAGTAGATATTGAACAACAGGATGAGGGTTTGTAATATCTGATTATCTTGATATATCATGCAATCAATTTGTACCAATATATCATAGTTTATTAATGTAATATTCTGTGTATTAAGATTTTTATTCATATTTATAATTTTATTTCACTCAAAACATAATGAGTCTGGTAGGCAAAAAAGGGAACATGTCCCAGTCCAAGATGCCTATCAGTTGTATTTGATTATTTGATTCTTGTGCTTGACTGTGAACAATAAATATTTTTTGATATTTATGTTGAAATAATACATCAGTTATTATAAAAACTCACTATAACATCCAACAGGCTCAAAGTGAAAACAGGAAGAAGAGTCAACATTCATCTTGAAATTTCGAGCTATTATAGGGTAGGGCAAGCGGCTAAGCTCTGTGGTACTTGCATCACTGTTAAAGTTGAAAACCTTTAAAAAAAAACATTTTAATAACATTAATTTTGATTTAAATAGAAGTAAATATATTTCTTTATTCTTAAAGCAAAATGTAGATTTCATATACTTTGATCACTTTTGCTGATTTTCATATAAAATGAATGACTTATGTCAATTACAATAACAACTAGTTAGTTGATGACAATAAGTTGAAGCTGATTCAGAGCAGTGGGGAATTCAAGGAAAAGGGGGGGGGAAGGGGTAATCAAAATCATAAGTGTATGTAAAAATACACGTTGGGCCTAGCAAAAGACTCCCCTAAAGCAATTAATATAACAATGTATCTTCAGAAATTCCTAATATTGTGGGCTAAAAAGAACAATTCTATAAATAATAAAATCTCTCGCCATGGACCCAGCTCACTGGGCATTTTATTCTGGGACAGTAGGTTCTAAGCATTCAATTGATTCGGAGCCCTTATTGAAATTGTTGAAAATTTCTGAAGCCACCATTTTTCCTGGACCATTATACATAATTGGTGTTAGTCATAGCGCATCATGCAAATAAAGTCATCTATGTGCTATACAGTCTTTCATGTAGCACTCTTGTGTGTGTACAAATATAAAGTAGATGGGTTGCAAAACTCAAACGCTTGATCTTTTTATTAAATGCAGAAAGCTCTTATCCCTGCCACACTTGACTTCACATCACATCTAGGGTAAACATATATTTTTATATTATTCAATTGTTTAACCAAAATTTCAAAGTAAAGAGATTTTCAAAGATAGCAGCTTAGCTCAGTCGGTTAAACTGGTGGAGGCACTGTCTGTGCACTGAACCGTGAGGATCTCTGGGTCCCCGGTTCAATTCCCATCGCTGCTCTCCATGAGTTTCATTTGTAGGGCTGAAATATAAGTTACGATAGCGCACCTTCATTCGGATGAGATGTTTAAGCCGTTGATTCCATGTGCAAAGTTGACCATGTGCACTATAAACAAAGCATTACACTCTTCAGAAGAGAGTAGGGGAATGTCTCACTGTGTACTGCCCAATCCACCACCAGAAGGACTCCACTGAAAACAAGTCCTTGGATTCGCACCGTAATACACCTACTCCTAAAACTACATGACTTACCATTGGACTTCCATTTCGATCTGAAACTCTCATCCAAATGTCATCATTCCCACTGTATTCCACTGTGAAAGTACCGCCGGTGGTCGAATGCGGGCAGCCCCGCGTCAGAACTCCTGTAACAGTCTCAGGCTTCCTGAAGTCTACTGATACCGAATAGTCTCCATTTTCATTTAGGATCATATATTCCACGGAAGGAGAAACTGTGAAGGTGCCATCAAGGATATCAACAGATTGCACACCAAAACCACTGTTACACACACGAGAACCTGCGTTGATACAATGCAAATACATAAAAATTACTTCTCTGTTTATAGAAAGCGCATATAGACTATCTAATATTTACAACCAACTAATCAGTCCTGAAACTACTGATAGAGGGCAGCCCTACATCGGGAAGCAAATTTTGTTTTCGTAGGTGAGTTTATTAAAATTTCATGAATCATTACGGGTTCATACAGACTTGAGAGTAGCGCATGCGCAAAATGGTCTTTAAAATATTGTTTAGTTTAACTTGTATTTTTTTTTTTTTTTTTCGTTGTTCTGTTTTATATTTCAGTTCCAGGCTTCTTTTCATTGTTTTTAATTTACTTTTTACTACTACTACTTTTGAATTTTACAATCGTAAACTTTTTTCTGTATATTTTTGTATATTAACTCTATGTACCAGGGCTTCCTGAGAAAGCAATGCTAGTCACTGAATGGATCCCCTGTTTAAAAAAGTTTAACTTAAATTAATTATCTACCTAAATGATTGGTAAATGATTTTGTTTCTTATTTTGCAATGATCACTCGACATAAACCTATATAGTGTGTATGGATGTTTATATCGATTGACCTTGATTATTCAAATCAAATCAAATTAAATATACATTTATTTTCCATACCATAAAGTAGTACAATATACAATAAGAATATAAAGAATTGAAACAAATATCATTGTATGGAAGAAGGCTACAGTAAGTTCAACAAGAGTTTTAAGATGTAGCCATCTTTAAAAAAAAAAAAAAAAAAGTTTGAAAAATGACTGGTACTAATATTTAGTTTTATCAGAACTAATAGAGTTTAAAAATTTAGAGATACCGATAAAATTAAAATAATTCCAATCCATCTTTGTATTTGTTTATTTTAGAAGAAAGATATGATAAGAAAAAATATAACTAATTGCCATATACAGAGACCAAAGACTTCTTAAGGTGATATTTAAAACTATTCAATGTGAATTTATTTTTTAGGTCACCAGAAATATTCGCCCATAATTTCGGACCCCAGAAAAGAACTGAAAAACGCCTGATACTAGATGTGCATGAAATACGCGAAGTATAATTGTTGCTAGAAAATCTTGTATTATATTTATGATGTTCAAATGCTCTTGTATATAGATTACCGGTACTGATAATGGATGATAAAGCGTTATGCAATAAATGATACATAAAACAGCAGATGGGATTTTATTTAAATCACATACATTTAATACATTAAAGTGATAAAAAAGGTGTTTGGTGTGAGCTCTAAAGGATCATCTGAGCATTATATTAAGTATAAATATGCTTGCTTTGTACTGTATATAAATATGTGATGTGTTCCGATAAAACCAATACAAATTTGAAAAAATTTAGAATATATTACATAATGAATTTTGGGAAAACGCCGAACGTTTTACAATTGTGTAAAAAATGATGATCTAATTCAGCTTTAATGAAGCGTAGGGATATCTTCTCATACTTCCTAAGCAAACAAATTGGCAGGTCTTCCGAACTAAAATCCTTAATGATGGAACCAAACGGACGCA